ACAGCATCAGAAACTGCTTCAGTTTTTATACTGTGTATGTATAAAGAGATTGTAAAACAATTACATAAGTTGTCAACATTTAATAATTATAGTAAAAATAAGGGTTTTCAAAAATCACAATTAATTGCTGAATAATAAAAAGAGTAATCACATATTTTTAATGCATGTTTGAAACTCAATAATCTTTCATTCGACAGTATTTTTTGATTCTTTTATTTTTTATTTAACTTAAGTTAAGGGCACTTTATTCTCTCAATCAATCAACCAATCTTTATTTTTAAAGCACCAATTCATGTTAACACGTTATCTCGAGACACTTTACAAGAGGTAAAAGACCTTACTCATTGTTATGTTACAAAGACCCAGCATTGATCCATCATGAGAACAGAACTTAGCAACATTTAGCAAAGTTACAGTGACAGAAAAAAACTTCTCTGTTTGAATACCTGCTTTTATTTTGAAAGAAAATAACGAGCGTCCTGTGGATCAAGGTTAGAAAATGAACTTAACAGCTGAACTGTGAAAAAGGTAAATGTTTGAAGTCACATGGTGGATATTACTTTTGCCTCATCAACTGAGCCGTGTAGTTCTTTAAGTAAATGAGACATTCAAAGGCGCAGTGGAGTCGTTCTTTTCCATCACTGAGGTTACAGGGAGATGCTGCAGAGTGTACGCCTAAAGGGACAAAGCAGTTCACACTTATTGAAAATGAATTCATTAATTTCAGACCCAGTTTTCACAGACAGCGTTTTCTGCGCTGGCAGCGCTTGTTTTCAATACAAACCAATGGAGTTCAGCGTTTTCAGTTCTAAGGGCCCTGAGTGCTAAAATGTTTGTTTGTCAGTTCCTCCAGGAAGTTGTGATGTCACGATCGCAACAATTAACGCAAATTCAACCAATTCCCTGTGAATTCTGGGCTACCTTGCAATTTTGTTCAATCACCGCAACCTTTCTGCAACTTTGACCAATCAAAATAGTTTCCCCCGCGAGTTTCACCAATCATAGCAGTAAAACGACGAGTCATATGTCACCACAGTTTAACTCACTTCCTTGTCTATATGCAGAATCAGATGTCAACATGTTGGACACAAACGTCACACATTTACCTTCAAGAATTACAGCTAAGGACCATGCAAGGCAATTCCCAGATGTTCTGCACAGAAGCAGGGGTAAACTTTTTTGCACCCCGTGCAACGTTGTGGTGGAACACCATAGACTGTAAATATTACTGGACGAACCCTGAGTGACGTCTGTTACGGAGGCATCAAATGAGTCTAATCGATGGGCGCATCCATATTGGATATGCTGTCTCAGTGGGGTCTCAACCTAACTTCGGATCAACCTAGCAACAGCATTAAGGTGGGACCCGGCAGGACTTAACTCCGCCCAGTCAGCTCCATGTTCCATTTCACATCAAAGTCAACGGCTACGCTGTTATCCATGCTGCTCCTGCTGCTCATGATACTGCTATCCTGCTATCATCCTGCTATCATCCTGCTATTCCTGCTCGTCCGGAGTTATCTCTATAAAGAGTAAGTTAACATTTAACTTTTCTACAACACAGTTAAAACAGAATAAAACATCAGCATTGTTGTATCATACAATTTAAGAGACAATTTGAGGCTAATCTTTACATTAAAATACACATTGTGTTACAAGTCATTACTTGGGTGTAATTACATGTTTAAGGTTAAGAAGTCTGTTTGAAAACGATAAAAGACAGACATATGGCACTTTTTTGTTTTCTTTAATTGTTGTTGATGAACCTACTGTTAGACCATAGACTGTAAATAAATATGAGACATCCAGAAGAATTCAATATTACAAAGCATACAGTTCATGTTTCTGTTCTGACAAAAAGAGTAATGTCTGTGTCTTATATTTACTGATGTCAACAGCGATGTGGGTGAACATGACCATTGAAGGAGATATATTTTATATTTATCATAAGATATTTATTTTCTATAGAACCCTGTGAAGTCATGGCGTCGTCTGTGACCAGTGACGGAGTGTCAGTGGAACCCACAAAAAACTGTAAGTATTACAAAATTGTATTTTAAGACTGGTATCTATTATTATGAGCTGCAGCTACCTTGATCAATATTATCCTTGCAGATGTGGCTAATAACAAAAAAACACCTTGAGCTGCCACATGTAATTGACTGTACATTCTGTCTTGTCTGAGGCATTAATTGAACACCTTTGTATTTCTCCCTTAGACACCGTGTGGATTATTGGTGACAGCTGTGTCCGTCGAGGTGCCCAGAGAGCTGCAGAGACAGAGGGAAGGAACCTGGGCCTGAAGAACGTCCACATGAGTTGGTTCGGCTGGGGTGGACTTCGCTGGAAAGGCCTCCTTCCCTTCTTTGAAAACTCACTCCGAGGGAGGTCTCCCCCAGATGGCCTCATCATCCACTGTGAGGGCAACAGCATGGGACATGTCAGTGGTGTTGTGCTGGTCAATATGATGAAGGAGGACCTTCATCAACTCCACGCACAACACCCTGGCACGAAGATCATGTTGTCTGCCCTCACCCAGAGGTGCCGATAGAGGCCTGGCAGCCATCCGGGGAAAATTGACAAATCCCAAAGATTTGTCAACAGTGTTATGGCTACATTTGTTGGATCAATAGGCGGTGCAATGATTGAGCACCCTCAAATTAGACATGACAGTTCTGGGCTATTTTTGAAAGCTGGAGTTCATTTCACACCTAGAGGAAATGATTTATTTTTAAGAAACATTGCTCATTGCCTTAAAGACCACTTCCAAATACAGTGAAACTGCACTGGAATTTGAAAGTGGCCTTTAGTGCCTTTATTTAAATGCCAAATTCATAGCCTGCTGCTATGGCTAAAGTTGAGTTTTTTTTATATACTTTTGTTAAACATCCACTGATGTAGCCATGACACTGTTTCACTGTTAATTTATGATTGGGTAGGAAGAGTACCGTATTTTCCGCACTATAAAGCGCACGGGATTATAAGGCGCACCTTCAATGAATGGCCTATAAATTAAATAAAAAATAAAATAAATTATTTCTTTGACGTTTCTCTTAACTCTCAAAACGTAGTTTTATACGTAGTGCATTCACAATAACTCAACGGTGTTCAAACGTTAATGTGCATATTCACAATATCTCCCAGCCTTGTTCAGTTGTAAACACGTAAAAGAAACACAGTCTGATACCGCTAATTCAAACGTTAGTGCAGGGGTGCCCAAACAGTCGATCGCGATCGACAGGTAGATCGCTGACTGATTCTCAGTCGATCGCGAGATGTTTTGTCAATATAAAATACAAGTGTAAAATAGAAAAGTGATTTCAATTGCATCTCATTGCACTGTTTCCCACACACGAAACCTGTGTTGGGAGCCCAAGTATACTTCCGACCTGTGTGTATTTAATTTTTCATTTATTCATGAAATTGCTGCGTGCATGAGAGAGCGAGCGAGAGAGCGAGCGGGGGAGATAGAGAGAGAGAGAGAGCGCGCGCAAGAGAGAGTGCAGGCATGCGCAATGACGTGCAGGTAAAACCGGGGGGGGGTAAATGTTTTACCAAAAAGTCATATATAGAAACTATGCTACGAGTATTAAGCGCATTTGATGAAGCTGCAGCTACTTTTCTCTGCTCCTCTCTGCTGTCATGACTGTGAGCATCGCGGGGGATGAGACACACCAACATACAGCGCAAACGCACACGCACACGCACACGCACACACACACACACACTTGCACTGGAGCGCCAGCCACCACGCAAACCTTTTTACTTTTTACTTTTAGTGCTACAGCACACAGTTGATCCGTGATCCGTACGGACCGAGGTGGGAACACACGTGACCCGGTCACAGACGGTTGGACTTTACTCCGTTCACTCTCACCGTGTCTGCAGCTAATTTAACAAAAGCAAAATCATCTCACAGCAGCCTGCTGTAGTCTGCATTATTTTTTACAGAACTCTCATTTATTATTTTCTGTTTGTTGTGTGAGTATTAAATACGTTTGTAGGCTGTTGGTAAAGGCTATGGCTCACTATGTGGACTGGTAGATCTCGGCAGACTGGTAACTTTAAAAGTAGATCTTGGTTCAAAAAAGGTTGGGCACCCCTGCGTTAGTGCATAACTCAACATTGTTCAGTTACGTATAACACGTAAAGCTCACTTTTTCAGTTCATTCCCCGTCCACGAATCCCTCGAATTCTTCTTCTTCAGTGTCCGAATTGAACAGTTGGGCGAGTACGGCATCCAACATGCCTCTCGTCATTATCCGAGTCAGTGTCGCTGAGCGCCGTGTACAACCAGTATGGATCAACCAATTAACCAATTGATCCATATATAAGGCGCTCCGGATTATAAGGCGCACTGTCGTTTTTTGAGAAAATTAAAGGCTTTTAAGTGCGCCTTATAGTGCGGAAAATACGGTATTTACCTTTTTTAATTAAAGACAACTACCGGTAATGTCCCTGACAACAGAGCTATTGTTAGCTAGAGTTTTAGAGCATGCCTTTTGTTACTTGCTTTAGATACAAAAACCCATCCTTTATTTCTAATAAAGCTAAGTGGAGAGATTTCTGCTCTATGTGTTCCAATATCTGCCACAAGAGCTCCCCATATACACATTCAATACAATCAAAATCAAGTTTCAACCAGAGTAAATTACATTAATGTGATTAGAAAAATGTTTAAAAATCATTCACAAATGTGGTCTTCCAAGATCAATGTCACATAATATCGTCTAGTTTACCCATCTAAACTAGACAAATGATGTGCTTTATCATCAAATATAGAAGTGTTTTAATGTTAACAATTAAGGGAAGTATTAAAAGAGAGCGGATTGTTTATATTTATAAACATATATAAAAAAGAACCAATGGATTACAGTTTTAAGAGGTTAAGAAATGGGAACTAGCAGGAGAGTCCACTCATATCTTCTGAGACATTCCTAAGTTATAAGACTATATTGGCAAACAAAAAAATATAATATGGAATTCATAAGAACAACAGGTTGACTTGTAATGAGGTTTATTGCAGAGGAAGGGAGATGAGACGATGATTCACAAGGTCTGCAGAGTGAAAGGGAGACGGCTGATCAGAGCAGAGTTGCGATGTGAGCCTAGTTGATTGAGAGGCTTTGAATCCAAGAAGGCAGGTGGTGAACCTAAAGTAAAATAAAAACAGGATGAATATCAGAACAAAACTAGCACAAGAATTTTAAAAGTCTATCAAAAACTATGCCTGAGCCGTATTCTACCGTAGCTGAAAGAACGATCTGGCGAGTGGATTGAGAGCCAGGGTATATATACTGTTGAGTTGATGAGTTGATGGAGAGTAGGTGTGCAAGTCTGAGGAGTTGGATGGAATAAACAGCAATCTTTGAGCCACAGAGTGTTAATTGGATCACCGCGCCCACAGAAAGACAGCCATGACACTCCCTAGTGTCCTACATTGTACTATATGAGAGAGAAAATAAGTTAACACTGGTTTTAAACATTTAGTACCGCCTGTCTTGGTTGAAAGCCCACTCACCACAACAAGGTGCAGGCTAAGAGTAAGAACATATAACACGACAAACGTACAAGAAACTATAAAGCACGGGACATGTTAAAACGAAGAGAAAACATACAACAACAATGGAAAACATATGTACAATTACTGAACCTGAGGGTAAGCAAAGGGGATAAAATTAACAACAAAGTAAATCAGGAAATAAAGCAAGAGTATGTAAAAATACCCCTTAACTCCAAAACTTTAACTATGAACTCCACATATTCATGTATCTTATAACAACAAGGTAACAGCAACATTTTCATACATTTTAACATTTTGTTAAATAAAAGAACAAGATTTTTTTTTTAGATACTGGTAAGTAAGTTTTATAATATTTTTTTATATAAATGTTTAATTTAAGTGAACTTTTTTAACTGGACAAACAAACAATTCTGTAAACTATGTACATAAAAACTATAATTAATCTCCCACTGAACATGATTAATAGATCAACATCATCTTAGGCCGCGTTCATGCAGACTCTAAAAGACATTGACCAGTCATTCATGTGTTCAGTTTTTATCTGACATTGGCTTTAAGTAGTGGTGAGGTGAGGTTTCTCTTTAAAGGCTCTATGTACAGTTTTGAGAATTATATTTTGAAAGTTTGTCTTGGAGTAGCATCCCAACAGATTTTTAATGGAAAAGTTGGGCCCCGTTCATGCAGACTCCAACTGATAATCATCTATGTAACCGGTGGGTTTCTTTGAAAAAAGAAAAGTATTTTCAGTAAGAACTCAGGCCCCGTTCATGCAGGCTCTAAGTTCAATTAGTTAGTGAGACAACATGTACACTTGCTTAACGGCAGACATTGAAAGTTACTTGTGCCCCGTTCATGCAGGCTCCAAGTAACAGTTTCAATGTTGTTCTATAGCATTATTATACCTACCATTTCCTATGTTCTAGCAAGAAAAAACATCAAAAAGAATTTGGCCACATTCTGATATGCAAGAAATAGAACGTGTTGTACAATAATAGAAAAATATAGACAAATATACATATGTACACACAAACAAAGAAATGCAAGAAGAAGAACACACACTACAGGAATAGAAACAGATACAAATATATACAGATGTACACACAAACAAAGAAATGCAGGAAGAAGAACACACACTACAGGAATAGAAACAGATACAAATATACATATGTACAATATCAAAGTATATAATAGCTGATATTAACTACACACAGAAGTGACCAAACATCTTTTATTTAATCTCCATAAAAATTGATTAATTTAGTAAGCTTTCTGCGAACCACTTTACCTTCCTTTATTTTTTCTGCCTCTCTTCTTGCTATGTGGTTCAGTCGAATTTTGCAGTACCATGCAGAAGCCATCCTTACCAAAACATGGACATGACTGGCTTCAACACACGTCAAACTGTGCAGCTGGGGAAAGAGATTCTTCTCTGAACAATCTGACAGAACCTGGGTGACAATTGCTGCAGTTGTTCCTCTTCCCACTGGAGCCTTGCCCTCAAGGATTTTTAGAAGCCGCTGAAAGCGTCTTTCAGTAGCTTGGCAAACTGCAGTGATGTCGGGTGATGGTTTCTGGAGGCCACCTCTGTTCTTCAAAGTAATGAAATGGTGAACCGAGTCATCTGAGGTTAATGATTATGAGCAAGGCATGCATGTTATCTTCTGTTTCATCTTGTTGACGATGAAGCCTGTGATGTAAGAAATTGCTGCTTCTTTGTACTCAGACAGACTGTCAACATCTGGACGGTCAGACAGACTGTCATCCTCAGGCACAAGCACTTCAACTGGCTTCACATCCAACCTGCGCGCAACATTCACAGTCGCGGGTGTTGAATCAAGGATGGTTTTTTTGTCACAAAGGAGACAGTTACCTGTGCCTCTTTTTACCTGATGCCTTACAAGGAGGCGCTTGTAAGCTCCTCTAAACTGCCTCACATTGGGGTTGTTGTTAAATCCGCCACATGCTCTGATTGCAGAGAAGAACAGCTCCAAGTGGTCCTGGCTGAGTTTGTAGGTCAGAAGGTACCGGCATGGGGCTGCTGGCTGCTCTACCAGATCTTCATAGATGCCTAACACACTTCTTACACAAGCAATGAAACCATAAATGGCAGTTCTCTTCTGTGTAGAGTGTACATGTATAAGTGTGTTGTCTCTTCCTGTCATTCTGAGCCCACAAAGGAGTGACTCTGCTTCATCTAAAATGGCCTTGGCATGGTGTTTGTTTGCTGGTTTCAGGGGGGCTTTAAATCCCTTTCCAAGTGGGTTCCTGCTGTTAAGGACATCAAAGGCAGCATCAATGGTGCGCAAGAATTGAACAGTGGCTGAACATCCAAAGAACTGGGGATATTTAAGCCCCCTCTCACAATACTCAATGGCATCAGCCACACTGCTGCTATAGAGTTGGGCTGCAAGATGTACCTTCATTTTTTGATTGCGCCACTGAATATGTGCCATCTTCAGTTTGTTGTCAAGGCTCAAACCCTCCTTTTGCTGAAACTTGTTGAGCTCCTTGATGTACTGCCATCTTATCTGCTGGCCATTTTCTCTTACCAGAACTTCAGCTGTTGAAAAGACATTCCAAAGAAGCTTGAGCATGTGACATGGATCCAAGAGAACATGGACTTTTTGTGTGAGATCTTCAGGATGGAAAAAGAAGGATCTCATGTCCATGAGGTCCAACTTGGCACCAAGCTCTTTGACCATTCCAAAGTTTTGAGATGGTCCATCACATGTCAATGAGACAACCCTAACACCGATTTCATGAAGCCTAATTAGACTCTCTCGGACAATGTTTGCTCTCTCTTGTCCTGTCATGCTGTTGATGAGGAAGTAAGCAATGGGAATCTTCCAAGATGCATTAACTGCAACAACCACGAGGACCAATGCTTGTGTTGCGATAACATTTTCAAGTTCACCAGCTCTGATGTCAACATAGCCGTGAATTTGGTCCCCCCCAAACTCAGTCTGCTTATGAATATACATTTCATCCATCATCAATGAGCAAACTGTGTCCTTACCTAATCCCTTCTGATCAGCAACATGACTTTTTAAAGCTGTGAAAGAAGCAACAGTAAATCCAGGATCTGCAGAGATGCTGCTATATCACTTTCTTATGGTTTGTGGATGAGGCAAAGCCAAAAGAAACTTCTCTCTAACATAGTCATAGGCTTTTGGAGAGTAAAAGTGCAGTGTTGTAGCAAATTGTTTCAGATTCTCTGAAAACACAGATTTCTTTTTTAGTCTTTGAAAGATCTCTCTGGGAACATCTTCCAGATCAGAAAGAGAGGCACATTCCGATGAAATTAGAAGTTTCTTCTGAAGCACTTTAATTAAACCTTTCATAGAAGAAACTTTTGCCTTCAGTCTTCTTGTGTGCTGAATTTTCAACTTTAGCTTTTTTCGAGCTGCACATAGCATTACCTCTGTAGCAGAAGCCTTCCTCATCAGTGTTTTTGGAGAATGAGAAACACCTTAAGAGTGATCACCCTGAGATAAGATACTCAGCTGTTTTGGCCTTATGTAACAGTGATCTAATGCTGTCCAATTTATGCTTTGATTTTTGGGTCGATTGCTGCTACCTAGACCAACATCTTCCCTTGCATTCACTGTCAGCGTAATGTCATCATGGATTACATTTTGAGCAACAAAGACTTGGGGTGCGTCTTCCATAATGACATTGCTCTGATCAGAAATGAGATTTACAGCACTGCTACCCTCATCTACATCTGCAACCTCCTCACCACTACTTAAAACACTAATGCTGATGTCACCTGATTGGTACCTAACCGCAAGCGCTTTCGTCCTTGCTCTTTGTTTTGGCCCTCAGAGAAGTGGAAAATGGTAGGCACAGCGGTGTTCTTCAGACATGTCCTCCCCTATTAAAATGTAACAACAAATAGACAAACAATAGCAGGTATTCATTAAAGAATTTTTTTGTGCATTGTCTGTACTCATCTGTGTGTAAGAGTGCATTTATAAATTCAACAGTGTACTACCCAGACAACAAAGGCAGTGCCAAGGTGACACCTTTCAAAGTGTTCACTGCACAGACGAGAGGCCTTGTTGGGAGTCCAGTTCTGTCTTTTCAGGTTGAACATCCACTGGTCCAGTCTATCTGGATCACCTAGAGGAAAACTACTTACAGGGAAAATTAGTTACATAACACATATGTCAGTATAGCTTATTCACATACATCTTAACATGAAACAAATACTACTTTAATTATTTAAATCATTATCAGGTTCCAACTCTCTGTGCTTATGTACAGAACATACAGTAGCTCATTTCTTATTAACATGTTAATATATAACCCATTCAACCAACGCCATATTGGGTACAGTTGCGTCAGGTTAATGTTGAACTTTATCTAAAAAATAAGGACATATGACATTATTGTTCAAAAGTACTGATGCCTAATTAATACACAGAGTTTGTGTATTAATGTCGACATTTATGTGGAGTATAAAATTGATCGTAAGGTCGGTTAACCACCGCGGTGAACCTTTAGTTTCTAACATCATACAAACTCATTATTTTCAACATATTATCCACAAAAATGACTAATACTTCGGAATTCATTTTATTCCCAGTTTAATAGTGCTGTCTAGCTATGTCATCATTAGCATCGTTGGCTTGAATGGGGGTCCCGATCGTCTTGATCGGCCAAACCATTGACCGTAAATAATGGACAAAACTGAGGCAAATTGTATAATTAGTCGGCTGGTTTACAAGCTAACATTAAACAAAGCCAGGCCCGCGAAAATGGATGCCTACACCTGCCGATCACCATTTCATAATGTCGACATTTATGTGGAGTATAAAATTGATCATTAATATTTACAGTATATGTATATCACTTACCGAAAAAACTGAAGCATCAACTTCTTGGATGGTCTGTTAATACAATTAACCGCACAGAAAGTCGTATTTGTTGTCAGATGAGAATTCCTGACTTACATCAGGTTTCAGTATTTCTCAGCTAAATATTTTAAATATATATATTTAATTTTTTTATTATTATTCTTAAGATTTCTTGTTTTTAATGTCATTCTTCTCTTTTTTTCCCCTCCTCCTACCTCCTTCTCTTCTGTATATTTTTACACCAACAGCTCACTCCATTAAAGATTAAATGTGATCTTATTTTTGAAAAGTATCAGAGCTTATTAGAGAAGTTTCACATTATCAGCGTTTCGGTTTCCGAGTTCATTATAAAACAGTTTTTCTCTCACAGATTAATACCAACAATTAGACCTGAGAAAGTTTTCAGCACAAACTAAAGAATTATTAAATCACATTGAAAGGTTGTAACTGTCGTTGTGTTATTAATATGAAATACCTCAGATAACGGTGAGGAGGAGGCTGCAAAGAGGAAACCCACAGAGCTCGTCTGCTGTGTTTGATCATCTATTGTTTTATAAGATAACCTCTGAGAACAGAAACATATCTGCTGCTGTATGAACTCATCGTCTCCTCTCCCTCTCTCTGCTGGATTTCAATTCTTGCTGAGTCTGCAAGAAGTTTTCCACTGAGATAGAGGTGTAACAGAAGAGAGTCCAGAGGCATAAAGTCACAAATAAACTTCATTTTTTTATTTGACAGAATGCAGACTTCAGAGAAACTCAAAATGAAAACAAATTCAGATGGAAGATGTCTGTGTTTGCTGCTGATGCTGACAGGACTCATTAAGGAGAAAGAGCACAACTCTTTGGTTAGTCAGAGTAAGTGCAGGAATATCATGGTGACGCTCTAACCTCACTGTGACATCTAGTGGAGTAAAAACACACAACAGGAAATGACAGCAGATCCTGCTTTAAAAAAAATAGGGGACATGTAGAGAGTGATACATTTAACAAAACTGTAAACTTAAAAAACACTGTCAGGTAGATCAGTGATGAATGCATCATAAGAATGAGTGCAGAGAGCTGTTGGTGTGAGGAAAACACTAAACATACACAAACCAGTTTGAAGAACCTGGAGGAGGAGGAGGAGTGGACCCCCCTCTAGATTCTGACTTCATGAATGTTAATTTAAACCATTTTGTTGGAGATACATTTGAGTCCAGAGAAGCACATGTTAACAATCCAATGGTGCCATTCACTATATAGTGACTTGAAGAGGCAGACCGATCTCCATCATGGTTTTCTTTTGTGTGTTATAGTCAGTCACAGTCTAGAACAAAATGATGTTCTTATTCTACATAAACTATAAACAGACTAAAGAAAACAATTCCATTAAATGAATAATTTAATATTTCATTTGATCTTTTCGTCATATCCAAATGTGCTGTGATGGTTGCTGGGTAATAATGTGATCATGTCATGTGGCTTGTTACAGCCAAAATTTGGTGGCGAGCACTGTGTACCTCTCCGAGCCGACCGAGCGATTCAAAATGCCTTTCAAGATAGATAGATAGATAAATACTTTATTCGTCTCCTGGGGGAAATTCAGGAGTGTCCCATAGCTCACAAGTTAGAAAAAAATAAAGCAAACATAGAAAACAAAATATCACTATTAATTTAATTAATTTCAAGCAGAAGTAAAAAATGACAGGAGAAAAAGGAACAGGAAGAGAGGGTAGCAAAGCTCCCTAAAATAGACTGTTTTGGTTTCAAAATCAGTCAGCAGCCCACAGTTGACCCCCTGCCCCTTCCTAGCAGTAATGCAGCAGTTCAGCCTGCGCTTCAACAGCCATGCAGCAGGTAACATTAGGAGGATAGAAGCTGTAACATTGGCCCTAAATAATCATAACATTAGGCTAGATATACATTTCAAGAAGAGTTATATACATCTAACAATCTAACACATTGTTGCTCGATATATAGCCTAATAGTGTGTGTTTGTGTGTGTGTGTGTGTGTGTGTGTGTGTGTGTGTGTGTGTGTGTGTCAGTCACCAATGAGTGACAGAAGCAGCCTGCCGCAGCAACAGCTGAGTCTTAGCTCAGATACAGAACAAAGGTTACAGCTATTAATATGCTTGAACTTAAACACATGTAATGTAACAGTTTGTATATTAATATCTAATGTGACTCATCGCTCACGCATTTAATTCACCACTTTACAGTGACTCTGATTCTGCTCATCTTACCCTCAGCCTCTGCTGATAGTAGAGAGTAAGAAACCCTGTCAACATCAAGGAATCAGTGTCATTGGCTCAACCTTCTGAATCCTCAGTCATCTCAGAAGGAGAAATGTGACACCTAGGCCCATGAGGCGTATGACAGGGCGAGAACATACCCTGTATTTTCATGCAGTGTGTGTGTATGTGTGGAGAGAGCGGGCAGGCATCAGTGACACAGAAGAGCAGAAGACGCAGATCGAATAGGACAGGTATATCCTGCAGCTTTGACTCTTTGACCATCGCTGAGTGGAATACATCAGCAGCCATTGTATTTCTGCAGAACTGATCCAGAAGAGGTTACAGATAATTGCTGTAGAACATGACACTTGAAGAACCTGCAAAACAGAGTCAGTGAGGAATGAAGCTCAGCTCACCCTCCTGCAGCTACAAGAAAAAATAGTCAGATGGTATGGAATGGTTGCATAGCTGAAGTTTGAACGGTGAGAACAACGTGCACTGACACTAAACAGCAGAGATTCTCTTCTGAGTCAGGATCTGGATTGATGTGTCACGCTTGGATTTCACAGCGTGCATGTGTTTGCAGTCTAGGGGGGCCAGCTGCCATTCCATTCATGTTTTTACAATAACTTTACACGTGGACGCCCAACACTAACAGCTAACATCAGGAGGCGTCAACCAATGCTCAATCTTTGGAAAATCAGTTTCAGTGGACTGACTGATTGAATTGACCGATGGACTTATTTTTTGTCTTCATAACCAACTGGATTCTTGTTCCCATATGTAACAGGTAATCCACAGCACAAGTGCATTCTGGGGAGGATTACAGACTTATCACATGGAGCAGTGAATGCAGTACTTAGTTTGAAGTGGATAACCTACACAAAACCTGCTGCTGCATTCAAAGCCGGCAAACCATCCATTAAAGTTAAGTTAAGTTAAGCTAATTTAGAGCAGAGGTTTGGTTCTGAGGTCCAGATGTTCCTCCACACGGTGCTGGTGGTCCTGACGGACTTGGCGGCCCGGTTCCTGGGTAACACCGCGGTCCGGCAGCACTTCCACCTGCTGCTGTCAGCGGTGGTGATGTTTGGTCCTGCACTGAGCCTCTGGGTCTCGCAGCACAGCATCTTTGCCAAGAGAAGTCACTTCCTCTACAGGTGAGCAGGCCTTCTTCTGTTTGCCCTCTTCTTTGTACCACTGCTATTATTATGCCACTGAAGTACCCACAATGCACTCCTGCATTGCTCTTAATAGAAAGTGACAGCTGTGCTCAAAGACGTGTCACTGTGGTTAGATTTTGTTGTAACCCTGATGCCAGCCTCTTCTGGTATTTAAAGGTCAAATATGCTGTGTTATATGTTAAATAACAGAAGACTGGGGTATCAACCAGCTGACCAAATGTCGGTCATGTTAGGTGTATAATAAAGACTGTTTAATCAGACTCTTTAACAGCATCTCCACTCATATCAATAATGCTACACACTGTGTGTGTTTTTAATGATAACTCTTTCCACAAGTGGAAGTGTACATACCTTGTATTATTCTATTATTGTATTTTTCTCCCTTTATTTAACTGATGTACATATGTTTGATTTTTAACTTCTTGTTATTTTTGATAATTATATTCCTGTTTCTTGAGCTGTTTTCAGTAGTAGTCTCTGCTCTGACTGAAAGTCACATATTAAACATCCAACCAGCAGTCATGGTTTCACTGCGTTATGTGTTTACCAACCCTCCAATGTGTCTTTGCAGATTGTTCTACTCAGGTGGTCTGAAGGTCATTATTAGCTGTATCCACAGACTAATACCAAATAAAAGAAATATCTTCTAGTCTGTATAATGTAATGCTTGTCACTAGTTAGTTAGTAATTTACCAGAAACCTGTATACTATACTTCTCACAGGACATGATATGACCTCGCAGTTGAATTTTAATTTCTTGCTCATTGCACACTGTACTTTCACTTTTATCTGGATGCTGGAGCATCTCTGCTGGGCTTTCATGTTTTATGTATCTATGCACCTACTGTTATTTGGATTATTTCTCAGTGTCTTGTATGTTTCCCTGTGGGGACAATAAAGATACCTTTGACCTTTGACCTGGATGTTAATGACTCAAAATGTCAGTATGACATGATGTCACTGATCTAACTTCCTCCCCTCTCTCCCTCCGTCTCCTCATCTTTCTTGCTATGAAGTTTGTTCACACCTCTCTGCTCTCCTTCTTCCAGGATGTTCCTGCGCTCTGGTTGGGGCTGGACCTGCATCTTTGTTGGGTCGTTTGTCTTCCTCCTCTCCTTCTCCATCCGTCGCTCCGTGTCCCTCTCCATGCGTCACCTGTCACGGCTCGGGGTGGCCGGCGGGTTGTGGCTCGGCTTCTGTAAACTCCTGGACCTGCTGGAGAACGCCACAGGAAGCTGCTATGAACCTTTACTCGGCGGTCCAGAGGTCGCCAACGGGCAGCCTCTGCTGGTGCTGCGAGAAGGCGAGAGTAAGTCGGAGTGCCTCAGGGCTGGGATGCTGTGGAGGGGTTATGAAGTCTCAGAGGACGTCTTCCTCCTGTGTCTCTGCTGCCTCCTGCTGGCGGAGGAAACGTCCGTGTTTGGCCCTTACCTGAGCCTGGGCGGGGTCTCAGACGCCCCTCTCAGGATCCTCTTCCTCTTCTGTGTCCTCCTGCTCGGCCTCTGGATCTTTCTGCTGCTATGCCTCTTGGCTTACTTCCCTCAGTTCCCCACCCAGCTGCTAGGGGGCGCTCTGGGGTGTCTGAGCTGGAGGGGACTGTACCAGGGCTGGTACCGCCTCGGGCCCAGCTGGTGCTCTCCTGGGAGACCTGGATTGGGACTGCTTAACACCAAGACTGAGGATGCAAAATTGAGCCAAGACTCCTGCAATTAACAGGAAACAAGAGATGAAGGTGAACGACGACTTTAAGCTCTCTAAGATGTTTGAGTGTGCTGTCTTCTTTTCACAGGAAGACAAGAGCTACTGTTTTGAACTCTGAACAGTGTAGTTTAATGATTTCTAAAACAGCACAATCATTGAAGGAAGCCACGCATGCACACGCACACACGCACACACACACACACACACACACACACACACACACACACACACACACACACACACTCTGACAGGACTCACATCTTAAAGTTTGTTTGCAATACAAAGATATGAATAACTTAAATGATTTGAAGGATTGGTGTTGTGATAATCAAGAAGTAAACTAAGTAAACTAACCAAACACTAATGGGACATTACTGTAAAAAGAGAAACTCATTGGATTCATTTGGAACATTATTTTATTTGATTGTAAGATTTATTTTGGGGATTTGTCTGTCTTTATTAGAGACAGGTCAGTGGATAGAGTGAGAAATCAGGGAGAGAGAGAGAGTGGGGAATGACTTGAATGCAGGAAAGGAGCCAGGGGTCATATTTTGAACCTGGGGTGCCCGCTTCCAGGACTACAGTACAGCCTCAGTAGGTCTACATGGTAAATGGACTTGAGCTTGTTTCTTTCTTTTCTAGTTTTCTGACTTCCCAAAGCTTTTTTCACCGCAGGTCACACCTACACATTCACACACTGATGGTAGAGGCTGCTGTGGAAAGTGAACATCAGAAGTAATCCCATTATACACATTCAAGGGTTCAGTGTCTTACCTAAGGACATGAGGCTGCAGGAGCTGGGGATCGTACTCCTGATCTTCCAGGTTGACCGACTCTTTGCTGTGGTACAACGGTAGTTACACGTTAAAAAAACACCACCAACGCCCCAAAAGCTTCTCAACAGAGAGCATGATGAGTGTGAGTAACTCGGAGCTTCTGTTTAAGAGGTCTGAATATTTAGTGAGTCATACTTCAGATGCAACCCCGACTGCCCAAACATTTCCCTTGTGAAGCATTGTAAACTTCTTTTTCATAAATATATGTAAACAAAAGGTGATTTATTACCAAAAACAAACAGGTAATTAATTGTCTGATTATTTGGGTTGCAAGCTGTGAATGCATAATGTTTCCTCTGAACAATTAAAGAGCGACAGAATGAATGAAGCCTTTTTATTCTGAATGAAACGATGAGCACTGGATGAATAAACACGGTAGTGAATTAACATGTAGACTATTTCAGAGGGTGTGCAGGATAACTGGGAGACCAGGCCTAGCTTGGGTAACGTGATTAAAGATGAAGGATGTTTTTTTCAGTCAATCTTTGGATACCAAAAGAACGGTGAGTCTAAATCCTTTGAGGTCTGAAGTTGTGAGGAAGTATATCTTAAGAAACAAGCTTTCATCAGGGACAAAGAAAGTTTACAACAGACCGCTTAGATTTAGTAAAGATACAGAAAAAAAAAGAAAAAGATTCAGAGCGTTTTGAGCAGCAGCTGGTTAGAATTATTAAACATTCAATTGGAGATCCAGTGAGAGATGTATCCCTTTTTTTGTCTTTCTATTGTTTTCTTTAAAGCTGCTGAAAGTAACTTTTCATTTGTCAATTTTGGCGCCCCCTTGTGTACAAATAGTATTTTCTGTTTTGTAAGGTACATGGGGTTAGTATGGCTTCTTAACAAAACCTCTTCCTGTTCTTTTAAACAGTCAAATGTTTCACTCAGCGGGAATCTTTGCTGTGAGAAAATCTAATAAAACAAGAAACTGTTTGTGCAGCGTGCTGTTGATCAATTCATCCGTCACCTTCCCCTCAGCAGCTGTTTTAGATGATAAGAAGTAATCTGCTCTCTGATAGTCTCAGGGACACCCGCCCCCCCTCTCCCTCTGTGAGGAGCATATGTGAACAGTCAGGTCAAGAAAACATCCAGAGCAGTCCTCCTGAAATTATCTCTACATATTCTCAGGAGTGCAGATGTGAAACCAAATAAGATACCTTCATATGTTTAATAAAAAGTTCTTAAAATAGTGACGCAAAACTCCATCAGCCTCTGAGGAGGAACACTTCCATGTTCACTCTCCTCTGAAAACACAAGAACATGCTCCTCCTAAATGTGTTTTATTGATTAAACGTCTCAGGAAAGAAAATATCTACAAAACATAACAACAGCAGGAGAGAAATGCTGCCTGGACGTCCGCTCTGAACGATCGGGTTGTACCATGTGTCTTTAACATAGAAAGATCTACAGCTTCTTGTCTGGAAAACAGTGATGATGATGATGATGATAGAGTGGTGATTGCATTCTGTTGGTTATACTGAGAAGCATCGTATTCATATACCTCCACTTAGAAGACCAATCAGACACATTTAAAGCCGGTGACATTTCCTTCCCAGGAAAAAGAAAGAATGATTTTCTGCGTCTACAATATCATTCTACTGACGCTCTTAGATGGAGAAGTTCATGGCCAAAGACAATTAAGGCATTAAGTCGTAACTTTTGTCTTCTAGACAATCTTTCTTACAGTTGGGGTCATCACACATAATAAGGTTATCTTCTGCTGGTGTCACCATTTAACACGGCTCATCTGGAGAGGATGAAAGTGAGCTTTTCTTTCACTGACATTATCACAAGGTGAGTATTGACAAGAGGCATTCAGTCTGTTTTAGTTACTGTGTCTGTTCCTCAGAGAGAGAGCACGTTGAGAATCAGTAATATGACTCAGTGAGTGTCTGTGTGGACGTCAGTGATTAAAGAGGAACAAGATCCTCTGTCTGCTGTTAGGCCGTGGCAGATTATGGGTAGTACAAAAAACCATAGACGATTAAATATTTGAAGGGTCAGGTGTGGGTCAGTAGAAGGGTGGGGAACCATCAAGACAGGGAGGGAATAGGCGAGTTAACAGAGTCCAGGGGTTCCCAGTGACAGCTCATCATGGCATCGTAGAGCTCCTCACTGCGCTGCATAAAATCTTTGTTCCACTGCTCCACGTCACATTCTGCTATGGGCTCTGGAAGAAAAAAAACACACAATGACTTGAACAGATCCACAGTGTAAGGCATTCATGTGTGCATGCATACAACATCCATGGACTGAATTCAAGTCTATCATAGAGCAAACACTGGACGCCTCATTAGTTATCCTACAGTAACAGAAGCTCTTTTAAGACTTCTTTTATTCACAAAAGTGAAACTAAGCTCAGCCGTCATCGCGTCTTTGGGCATTCCTATTGATTCAATGATCCAGCGCTGTGCTCCCCCGCTGGCTCGGCTGATATCGTCTCGCTCTCTTTAACCCCTCTGTACTACCTCTAAAGATCTAAAGACGGTACAGAGGGGGGATGACTTCGTCCCCCTTTATGCCTCTGTGACCTTCAGATTGAAGGTGAAAGGTCACGGGGGCATGAACTCAGGCCTTGAAATAGCAGTCTGAATAGGGCTAGACAGAGCCCATTTCTGGCACCAGACCCCTCTGAGGTGGTGGGTTTAAGAGGTCATATACAGAAAACACCTCATCAGCTGTTTCACCTTAAAAACCACCAGATATTTCATAAAAATAACCAGTTACAGTTCAGTAAAATACAGAGTATAAATGGCACCAGTGTATGAGATGCAGCCTGTTTGAAGAGGAACAACATTTCCACATGTGCAGTTTACTAACTTCACAGTATTTTTGTTTTCTTTAATGCATGACTCTGTGACCTAATGAGGGAGAAAAGCTGCCAGCCTGATTCTCATCACCATACATATATTCAGCCACGCTTTACAACAACACAAAAGTGCCCGCTTGTAACACAGAATGAATGACGGGATGAATTTTATAATTGCGTCAGGTCGCGAGCAGTGGCTGATGGTAGCAGCTAGGACTGGGTGATATGGACCAAAACTCATATCTCCACATTGTTTAGCTAAATGGCGATACTCAATATATATCGATATGTATATTATTAACAGTGAAAACACATGAATAATAAACTACCTGTTTGTGAATTTAAAAAGTAATATTATAAAATAAAAATGTTCCTTAAATACAATAAAAGAGAGAGAGAGAGAGAGAGGAGGAGCAGGGTTAAGAGGGACAGTCATGAGAAAAAGGTGAACTGGAACCTCTATAACGTTATTTTAATGCAACATAAACTATATCCATATTAACCATATTGTCTTACCCAATATCTTGTTTGAAAATATATCGGTATATAGCCCAGCCCTAGTCTTATGTAGGGTTTGCGGCAATAACTGTACTCAGTCTTTTATTGGCTTGAACATTTTAACACTTTTAATCAGACAGGGTTCATATTTATTGTAAAATCAGTGCATGAGAAGCACTTTTTTTTTTTGAACCGGTGTCACCTATAAACCTGTATGAAATGCTGAGACATGTGCTGTCGTGTAGCTGCTACTAGGGCTGGGCTATTTATCGATATATTTTCAAACAAGATATGGGTAAGATGAAACAAATGAAGGTCTCTTTACCTTCAGTATTTTCCTCATCTACACCTTCAGTCTCCTCGTGGCTCTGCTGTGGAAAGACATCACATATTGGTCAATATTTCTGAGAATCTCTTCAAGACCCCCCCCCCCCCCCCGCCCTCAAAGACTGCAGTCACTGTGAACAAACCTCAGCTAGCATACAAAACACATCCAGACAATTTTGGTGACGCTGTGGGTTGACTGACTCACCACAAACATACTGAATCATCTACTGCTCTAAGAATGAGTATGGACCCCCTCACCTCTACAGCGGACATGTCAGTGGATGTGGGTGGCACCCCCGTGGGAGGTGGGGGCATCACGTTGCCTGGAGGGGGGTATCCATAGGGCCCGTAGTTGTAGTTGTAGCCACTATTGTAGCCAGTGTTGTAGCCAGTGTTGTAACCACTGTACTGGTCATAGCCCCCCCACTGAGAGTAGTAACCCCCCTGACCCCCGCTATTATTGCTGCCGTAGTAACTGGACGGGGACTGGTTGTAGTTGCTGTTGTAATTCTGGCCCTGGCTCCCGTGGTAGCTGCTCATCTTCTGGCTGCAACATAATACATAGAAACTTATCATTAACATATGAAACTTGATCAATGAAAGAATATCTGGTTGGGGGTCTCCCACAGAAAACATTATAGCACCATTACAGCCCCGGACGCACGCAGCAGCCAAGAAACAAGACCGGCCTGTCGGCAGCAACCATCTCGCCGCTATATTTAGATTTTTTCGCCATTATCAGCTTTCTCCATAGAGCCTGTTAGCACAGCTTCCAAACAATATGTTGGACGTTAAGTTTCGATTCTGGGAGTGAGTTCCCACCCACTGATCTGTGATTGGTCTGTAGCTTCAGTGGTCGAAAATATGAGGAACTAGCGTTGTAGTTTCACCCCACTAACCACAAGAGCTTCCAGTGACGCAAACATTTTCATTTTGTGTCACTGGAAGCTCCTTTTCAGACTTAGAAATACAAAGATTTCACATCTCAGGGGAAAATGAGGGCTGGATGCACGACCATTCAAAAATACTACCAGGTTTCTAATGATACAAAGATTAATGCTAATTGGTGAAATATCCCTTTAAGTTTAATGCATGTCTTGATTTGTGAGGTATTTCTACAACATGTATCTGTTGAGGACTATTTTCAGATGCAGATTATTTCACATGTGAGTTTATGGGACAGCAGGGAGGAGTATCATTTATGAGTGGTTTTTCAAAAGTTTTTGGATACAGATGAAGCTGATAAAATATGTACCAGGCTTTGATAGACAAACTATTCTTGTAAACAGGGTATATTTACTGTGTGTTTAGCGAGCACACTGAATTCAATGACAAGAAAACTCACACAAGATGAACAGTGATGATAATGTGACTTGTTCCGTCGTCATGGTTCTCACCTCTTTGCCACAGCTATACTCAGTCTGAGCGGCTTCCCCCCGAGCATCGTACCCTGGCACTCCTCAATCGCCTTCTTCTGCTCGCTCTCCTCTCCAAACTTGACAAAGCCATAACCTCTGCGGGTCAAACAACAGTTACATCTCCCCTCCAAAACACGTCGTGCTCTATACTGGGCATTTCAACAGCCACTTATAATGAGAAACAGAATATAATGGGTATTATTATGGTAGAACTGAAACTTGTTGTTTTACTTTTAACAGGTAGCATCACTTGAATTGTGAGTTGCTCTTGCTTAGCCTATATGGGGAAAACAATAGTTTCAGCATAAGACGTACAGAAAACAGTTTGTCAGCCTTTTGTTGGAAACAGATGAAGATGTACTGGTGGTCCATATCACTGCTATCTAAAGTATCAATACAACAAGAGTCCAGGACACATTATTCTAGATTTCTAACAATAAGAATATTAAACACATTTAAATGTCTCTGAAGCCACATCCATGTCTAGTTGACCTCTACCCTCATGAGCCCTCGTACCTGGAGTATCCATACTGGTCAGTGACCACTTTGGCTCCCTTGCAGGAAAGGTACTTTTTGAAAACTTGGTGAAGCTGGAAGTCGTCCACCTCAGAGGCCAGATCGCCCACAAACACAGAGAACTCCGGCCTGAGAAAAGTGAGGACACTGATTAAAGACTTGTCTTCTTTGTGATGTTATGTTAGTACTGACATGCTTTAGATAGGGAGGATGTCTTATTGGGGGAAATGCCATTTGTATGGTTGACCCAAACCCAACAAGACAAATGAGAACTTCTCTTCTGTCTATGTGTTTCAGTTGTAGAGTAAACAAAGCAGACGTAATGATGACTAATCCAGCCAACCTACATGTCTGTCTTCATGTTGTTTTTGTTTGAGCTGGAACATTTAAGAAGTCTAAAATATTCACATTTCTTTCACTCTAAAATAAACAAACATGAAATGTTAACCGCTTGTTGATGGAGGGTAAGAGAAAGTCATTTTGTGTTACTATTGTAAATCCAAAAATAATGGAAATGTAGAAAATAATGAAATTGTTTTTGTCATTTAATAAATATTTTGTAGTGTAACATCTTGATTTTAAGTAAACTGTACTTGGAGAGTTTAACAAATGAAAATATAACAAGAGACAACCCTTGAAAATCACCATCTGTGTTTTCTGTCAACAGTTAGCCAGATTAAAAATAAAAATAAAAACTCCCCCACAGCACTGAACTCTGACAAGAAAGTTTGACTTGTGATGCATTCTAAAAACAGATCAAAATCAACTTTTTTCATTCTTAAACGTATCTTTATTGTCAAAACATGGGGACTACATTACCCACAATGCAGCTTGACTTCCCACAGCTGACTTGACAGCTAATGTCTCAAACTGCACGGTTAAAATAAAAAGATGAAGATCAGACCAGAGGGGTTGGATGATCTCACTTCTTCATACCCCCACGCCCTACATATTTCTCAGGTTTAAATTTGTACTCTTTGAATTTGAAGTCCTGACTAACTTAGAAACAAAAACAACTTTTTTTAACATTTTCCTATTTCAAGAAATCAACTCTGCCGTGTACATCGGTGAGGCTCCCCTAAATTTAAAGGTGTTTCACAGGTTTTCTAGATTAGTTTGTCTAATTGTCTCTCAGGCAGAGTGAACATGGGCTGATTTTTTTCATATGTAGTTTTGTCACACTAACCATGAAGTAAAAAATAATCTTTATATTTGGATATTGATTTCAGTCATTCTCCCCATTCATGCCCTACATGACAAAGATAATAGGATGATAATGGAATTGCAATTTTTTACAGACAATTAGCCAAAAGCCTCCTGTGGACAACTGTTGAGAATTAGCATGTGTGCTAAAACATTCAAACAATGCATCCGGCCAATGTAATTGTGAAGTCCATTTTAAATAAAAATCTATCTCCCCTTTAATACAAATTAAAGTGCACTGGAAATCAATTTCAAATTTACATAATAGCTCATTTGTTAACATAATTGATACAACATTACAGGAAAAGGAGTATTTTATTGAATGAATTTAATTGGATTAAGACAACAGTTTTGGCCTGAGATAAGGTTACATGGACACCATGTGTGTTTGGTGTGAAGCATTTAAATGTCTCAAAGTAACGTGAATCATATCTTACCCTGCCTCTGGTCGCTTCCCGTACGTGGCATAGTTAAGCTTAAACTTCCGGGGCTGCACAGAGGAGAGAAAAACACACACTAAGCCGGCATCACACACCAAAAGACGTGTAGTATTACACTGATATTGCTGGAAATAAAAAGTGGAGTTATTATGGTTGTTATTTGGGTTTACATACCTCCTCCACCACACAGACCAGCCTTTAGCCCATTCCTCAGTTAGTTCCTACCAGAGACTCTATTCACCAGCTTCAAACAAAGTACATTCATGTACAAGCAGCCTCTCAGCCACCTTCAGCAGCAGGTACAGGCCAGTGGACAGGGGAGCCCAGTAGCTTGGCCAGCTCACAGTGCCAACAGCATTTCAAATCCAGCAGCAAGCAGCTAAAGCTCACAACTGTGCACGCATGACTTTGATTACATTCACAAACCCTCATCATTACGAGCTGTCTCTGCAGCATTCCACTTTAGAAGTTACTGCTTCTGCTTTCATGTATTTTAGTGTTAGCAATAGCAACACTAGCAGATCCTACAGATTTGACACACTTCATTGTTTAACAAGAATCTTTATGAAGAGCAGATTAACAAACCCATATCATAGTCATTTATCAACAATAAACTCGAGTCACTGTTGTAACAAAGGAAGAGCGAGACAAGTTGAGCTCCACTATCCACATTCAAATCAACAATTAAATACTGCTTGATCACATTACTCTAAACACTGGGAAAAGAGGAAGGCAGTATTAAATTGTCAATAGTAATTGTATATATTCAAGTATTTGTGGAGAAACATTAAAATATACATACTGCGGTAAAGATTGAAATCAAAGATTCATGATTCTGCGATTACACCATAAAACTGACCGGGTTTGATCCAGGGACCAGTTTTCCATTCAGTCTTTGGACACAGCGGTCGACACTCGCTTCGTCTGCCAGCTCCACAAAGCAGTATCCTGCTGAACCCCTGGACAGGTGGACAAAGATGTTAGGGAAGCATTTACATTTAAAGAATCTAAACAGCTTAAACTTAAAACAACCAAGTTGGCAGTAATTATTGTTGTTGTTATTATTATTAAAGGAAGCACGTTCATGGTATCCTATAGACGTTTCTAGTCACTTTAATCAATGAGTTACATAAACCTTTTGGTTTCTATCTGCCAAATCTGTATCATCCATAAGTAAGGAGCGATTATTTAGTGTCAGTAGTCCCAGAATTAAGCGTACTAGCTTTGCAGCAGACATGGCTGTATACAGGAAAACAGCAGGAAATGTTTCGAGCAGCAGGGTAAAAACACAATCCTGTCTCCTGTCAGCCATCATCCCATATAGATCTAGCTTTAAAAAATCTCTATAAACAGATGTCTTCATGACAGTGCAGCCCACAGTCAGCTTCCCACTCATTAGATGTTTTGAATGTCCTACCCTGTTATCCTGTGAGTGATGATCTTGACTCCAAAGGGTGATTCTCCCATAGCACTGAAGGCCTGCTTGATAAAGCTTTCATCCATGTATGGGTCCAACTAAACACAACATGAAAGACAAGTTCAGATTTGATTTTCACCTCAAGAAAGTCACAACAGTAGATTAATGTGCACAAACATGCATGGTCCTCTCTATTACTGGTCAAGCTACGTAAGCCGGTCTAGTGTTTTAAAATGCTTTGGTCAAACTACAGCTCATAATGTTTTACAATAGTATTGAGTAAAACAACTTAAATTCCCAGACTTATAACTGTATCATGCTGGTTCTGTTTCTTTTAGGTGTCAGAGAAAGAGCCTGTGTTGTGCAGAGAAATGCATGCACCTCTCAGGACAATGCAAAATTTGGCAGACACACGTATCTTTATTAAGTATAAATTGTATATAGTTTTCATTAAATATCTGCCCTCAGAAATAAGGTTTGTACCGTCACACCAATGTAAATACATGAACATCAAAACACCTGGACATATATGGATATTGGATATTATGGCCGTAATCATTGACACAAGTGACTATTCTGTCCATCGTGGTAAAGAAATAGTATATTTTATTTTGTGCAACTGATATCATTGTGCATTTTGTTTATTTGAGACATTTATTCAAACGATATGAGTAAACAATACACACTTGTGTCACTTCTCTTTGTAAATATTTACTGCAACAGGATGACTTAGATGTGTAATCGTTAAATAAATACTCTATATAAATGTTGACTCGTTTGAAGCATCTCGTCTAGCATTCAGGACTAATGAGAGGAAGAGCTAGCTAAGCATACAACAATTATATGGATGTGCGTTTATTACGTTGTAGTATATGGACTAAACTAGACTCTAACGTAGGTAAACACGCTGAGTCATGTTAATTAGATACTTATTATATACTTTATTAGTCTAACCTTCTCGACAGTGGTCACATATACGAGCTAACTTTACGTAACTGAGCTAGCAACAACCTAACGTAGCGAAGCTAACATAAATCATATTGACAAAAAACGGAGACTTCAAACATACATCACCCATCCAGAGACTTGTCTGTCTGTTAAACATCTTGAGGTCAGTGAGAGGGAGTTGTACAGTAGAAGCTTTCCTTGTTTTTCCTTAATTTTATGGAGATGCTAAATATCTACAGGTTCACTACACAAATCTATTCGCGAATCTTCTTCCGTTTCCAGGTAACCAGACGTCACTTCCGGTGAATGCTGAGGCTCACCAAGGAGCTGATTTGATTAAATAATGTCGGTTTCTAACACATATTTTTAATCATAATAAGTATTATTATTATTATTTATACTTTATTGATCCCGCGAAGGTAAATTTTACACTCTGTCTAGTAAACATGCTACAGAAACATTCCGAAATACACACACATGCACAAACATGATCCTATGGACATGCACTAATGGAAAGGTCTTAGAGTGAGGGGACTGCCCACAGTGGGCGCTCCTGAGCTGGTGGGGGGGTTAGGTGCCTTTCTCAAGGGCACCTCGGCAGTGCTCAGGAAGTGGAAGTGAAGTGAAGGGAATCAATCAATCAGGAAGTGAAGTTTATTACTGACATTGTAGCTATAAATCTATCTTTTTCATTGTTGTTGCTCTATTTGTCTCTATCCTGCTTCCTTCTGCATCTCCCTCTATCCCAATTTTCAACCCCAAATAGGCCTACAGTTTCAGCAGATGTCTGTTCATCATGGGTGTGGTTCTGTTAGAGGTTTCTGCCAGGAAGTTTTTGATTGCCTCTGTAACTTTTGCTAAATGTTGTTTAGTGCTCATGACGGATTCATGTTGGGTCTTTGTAGATATGATAACAAAGAGTAAGGTCTTTTAGCTGCTTTTTCGTAAAAATGTCTTGAGATAACAATATTATGAATTGGCACTATAATGATTGATTGATTGATAGGTGGATGGATGGATTGATTGATTGATTGATTGATTGATTGATTGATTGATTGATTGATTGATTGACATATCAAATTACAGAATGGGAAATCTTGTAGTTGTATATATCCATCTGATTAACACTATCCCATCCAACTTGTTGCATCTGCTATTTGGATTTGAAAACAGCATAGACAGTTTCTGTCTTACATAAAAGCCTTTAAAGGGATGCGAGGACACTTTTAAGTATAATACAAATTACAAGAAAAGTCCAATTCCTTAAAGTTATTTATTTCTATTTTTTAATATTACCTATTTCATTTGTCTGTCCTTTGATCCTTACTGTTTTGGATATGCAACTGTGCATTATGATATTTTGAAAGATGTTAGTGCCATGTTGTTTGCATATGCATTCTTGATTAACAAAAAAATAAATAATAAAATTAAAGAGTTGGTGCTCCTTTCCCCGATAGAATAATTGTTACACATGATATCCATGTCAAGCCAAAAGCTGTAAAATTAAATAATTAAATAAATAAATAAAATTACTGGATTCTGAAGAGTGTGGGCAGAAATAAACCATATTAAAGATGTATTAAAATTGCTAGGCTACATTAACATCAATGAAGGTATATTTGAAATGTATTCATTTATACAATAATAAAAGTATATAAGCATATAAGTATGCTTGTAGCAGTAAAAGCGGACATCGACAAAAGTTAACATATGGTACAGTGTATAAGGGCACATAAGGTCTTCTGGCTGCAGCAGGATCTGCCATTACTTTGTCAAGAGCATGAAAGGTTGGTAATGGGATCTCATTTGTGTAATGAGAGGTCTCAACTTCGAATAATGTGATTTTTGAAGTCCTACAAAGGGGCCTAAAATCAGGTCCCACCGAGATTTGAACTCGGATCGCTGGATTCAGAGTCCAGAGTGCTAACCATTACACCATGGAACCGCTGGGGTGATCCGCGACGCGTTCAAAACCAATTGCTGTGAGTAGGAATTTGCGCTATTAACTCAGGTTTGAAACAGTTCATGTTTACTATAACGTATCGGAATAAATAAAGATTTTGAAAGCACATAGGGCCTATGGATTAATTTTTTTATTCCAAGCTATATTTAAAAAAAGGCTTAATTCCCGGTTATTCTAGTTAATCTTCTTTCAGCAAAGGGAAGATAAACAAACGGTCTTTAGTTGCAGCTAAAGGGTTCTGTCCTTCTCCACGAGGGTTAAAGTAATAAACAAAGCTGAAGAAGTAGGCTAGGCGGAAAAGTTTAACACACAGGTTTACCAGAGCCCTAGAAGGAGGCTCTCACTCTCTGATTTACGTCATCTCTTAAGTTTACAGAACGTGTGACGCTGTAACCATGGAAACAAGACATAGCCTACTACCCGGTGTAGTGCGGGACAACAATAAATTAGTGCAGTAAGTATGACATCGTTGCAGCAAGACATTTTTAATTGTGTGCTATCTGGAGATTTGGAAACCATCAAGGGCTTTTTGAAGGTGAGGGTGTCACAGAGGAGGAGGTGCCGGAAGACGGTTTGTTTGGTATGAAGGACGAGGCTGGGAGGAACGCCCTGTTGACTGCCAGTATGTTGGGGAGGAGCGCCATCGTCCCAGAACTGCTCAGACACGGAGCTCTGGTCAACGAGCAGACTGTCAGGGGTAAGAAAAATGATGCTGAGTGGGCTTTAACTGTTCGATCGATCAATCAATCAATCAATCAATCAATCAATCAATCAATCAATCAATCAATCAATCAATCAATCAATCAACCAATCAAAAAAGAGCAGCTAAAAGACCTTACTCGTTATCATATCTACAAAGACCCAACATTAATCCATCATGAGCACTAAACAACATTTAGCAAAGTTAAAATGGTAAAAAAAAAACTTATAATAGGAATAGACCTACTTTTGAACTAATCAATATATGCTTTTATTTTGCAGGAAGTGAAGTATTGAAACACCTTTTTGAAATATTTCAGTTATCAGATAGCCTACTGATGAAATGACTACATGAGAATAAGTCAGTATACAGATATGTCTTACCTTGTCAACATGTGTATCTTCATTCATCTTGTCCTGAGTGTATTTTTGCACATTATCTGATTAAAAAGTCAAATAAAACAATACAGTATACTCATATTTCTGTTCCAGTTGTCTTCAGGTGATTTAATAATATTTGAAAGGATTCACGAGAGCCTCCTCTGTTCCACAGGTTATTCCTCCCTACACCTTGCGGCCTGTTGGGGCCACCTGGAAACAGTGAGGACTCTACTTGAGCTGGGAGCCGACACACAGGCAAAGACCTTCAGAGGGGAGAGGCCTTTAGACTTGGCCCACAGATACTCCAAGACTGACTGTGCTGACTGTCTCATCCTGGCAGGTGTGGTGACATTACAGCAGTATCTTTGGCAAAATGAATCAGTAAAGTAAAAACTTTATTAAAAAAGAAGCTTTTTGTGTTTGTGTGTGTGCTGCAGACGCTCAACAGGACTTTCTGTCATATGTGACCTTCATTAAAGACATGACCTCTGATTCAAAGAGGAACCTGACAAAAGAGGAGAAGGTAACGCATTGTTTTGACATCAAGATCATTTAGTTATACTATTTTAATTAAATGATCATTGCCATGACTTTGAATAAAGCTATGGTGTATTTCTAGCAGGGGGATTTATGGTTTGTAATAAAAAATAAAAAATGAGTTGTTTTTAAAGATTACTATAAGAGATAACAGTTTCTCACTGTTTCTCTCATATTCACACAGATGAGGAAATAGTGGCTTCACTTAGATTAGAGATAATTTGACCTTTTCAATATTTAATTGTTTAAGTCCCCATCAGCTCAGGAGCTTCTTGTTTTTTATCTTCTTGTCTTTCACGTGTAGAAAATCTGCAAGTCTGTGTGCTCGTCCAAGTCGGACTGGATTCAGAGTGTCAGAAACCCAACAGTCTCCGACTTCTTAGACCAAAGACAAGACATAGAGGACACTCTCAGGCCGATCCTCACTAAGCTGACAGCAGGATGTAAGTACTGATGTTACATTTCAGAGCTGATATTTGAACTCAACACATTTTTCTCCCTTAATTATATTAACCACAAACAGAGTACCACGTGCACAGCCAGCCGATGTTCTCAGGTGACGGTCTGTTTCATGAACATACAATGAAAAAATGAATGAAGCGAGACACTTTACTTTACTGTCACTTTAGTGTGAGTGAACGATGCAAAAAAAAAATAGTCAAACATTTTATACATATATATATATATATATATATATATTGCATTCAGCTTATTTTATTCAGTTAGCTTATTTGACATGAATCTGTCCTGTTCTTGTAGATATGTTTTGTATTTGTAAATATGCTTTTTGATTTACTATGTTGATGGTATAAGTTACATAATGTTGTTTTAATACACGCTATGGTTCTTGTTTGATTTTATACGGAGGAAAAAAAAATTAGAACCAACATTTTTTTTCCAGTGGCCCTAATCCTCTTCCGGAATTTTATGACCTTGAATAATCGATATTGTCAGGATTGATCATGTGACTATTTGTTGTTAACACACCTGTGTATGCCTGTGATTATGCTACGGGGGAAACATTGTTTACCCACAATAAAGTGACAGTAAAGTCATTTTCAGTGTGCAACTGATTTTTTTTCTCCATATCCAACGAGTCCTCGACCCTGGAGTGATCCAGTAATAACAATGTAAAAAATAAATATAATAAGTCATATCATATCCTTTATTTTTTTTTCCCTTTTACCCGTCTTCCAACTGCACAGTCGTATGTTTGATCATCTTGTTTCTTTTCACAGCTGCAGAGGTGCCTGGAAAAACAGCAGGAAAGGACTGACGCAGAGGAAATATCTCCAAATCTCAGTGTTCAAATAAATGTCTGAAAGGGTTAAACTTGTGTTTAGTGTATACCTGGTTGAAAGTGGAAAAGTATGAGCAACTTAAAAACACCAATATGAGAGGAATGGAAGGCCAACTGCTCGTCACAGGTTTCATGACTGTATCTAAACTTACCTGGAACACATAGGTGTGTCTCACTGCAGGTTACTGAAACAGGAAGTGAAGTTAAATCTGCTCATTATTAGGTTTTATTGCAGAAACATCAGTCTCCAGGGGTGAAGAGAAGAATACATTGTGCCCCCTTTAACAACCTGACCGTTATCTGTTGTCAGGCCGACCATCTTTGCACCACCGGTTGACAACGATGTATATTAAAAAAAAGTACCTCAAAGATTTAGCATCAAGCTATAGAAAATGTTTGAGACTTCACACAGCTTTCTGTTGAGAAACAAAATGTTTTATAGAACTTCTTCACACATGCAGTAGTACTTCTCAAGACCTACAAACAGACACCGACGTGATAAAATGCTGTTTTCTTTCCCTCTCCCGTTCTCTCTCATGTATCATAACAAAACATCACTGTATACCCCTGCATAGCAATCACTGTGTTACCATAGCAACACCAGAAACCCTGCTAACACTACCATCCTGTGACTATGTTGTTCAGATTAAAGGCACTCAGATCATCAAACAGAAATGTAGCACACAGAGATCCAACCTCCAGCAGACTGAACGCTGTTACCTGTACTTCCTCTGAGTCAAGCTGTGCTCTCAATATGCCAGAAGCATATCATCCAGACACCACACACACTTGTTTTTATATATCTATACACACTTATCAATGACACAAAAGCAAACATGAAACACACTTTAACTGTATCTTCTTCATACAGGGACGAGAGCTCACATTATGCTGGTGTAGTTTTTTCTTTTACCATCAGACATGGCTTCACATCAACAAGAAAACCTGACTGTAGTCAAACACAATACAGCTGTTGTCTGTGGAAATGTTCCTTTAAAAAGACAGAAACAAGAGGCCAATCGAGCGAGGAATATCATCCGCACAGATTGAGAAATGTTAAGATGAGCAAATACGAATGAATATTCAAAACCATGCAAATACAAGTACACTTCTCCAACAAAATGTGACTGGTACCAAAGTTTCAGTGAGTTTGGATGAAGCATGGCACAATATTCATTCACAGAAATAGTCTCAGGGAGTTTCTCATTGCAGACAGTCTTCAATGTGACACTTTCCAAGCGGTAAGTCTTTTAAACTTCTGTCGTCTTCTTAGTGATGAAACACTGATGATACACACTTCTTTACCTTCTCCTGTACTGCACATTGTCAGACTGTTTAGTTTTAAAGTCATGAGTTATGAGATGGCAGATCCAGGAGCACATCAGTGAACGTGTTAGCTCTTTCTCCATCATTAACCATGAGTGCTGTCAGTAACAGAGAGGTGACAGCTGTGAACTGAAGATCAAGAGAAGGAGTAGAACGTCATATTTACAACACGTTACAGAAGAAAACCACCATCAGACAGACGGGTTTTGAGTGATTCTGACTTCACCTGATTGTGATGGGCTCGCCCTGGAGTTATCATGTCTGTGTGTTTACGACCTCTTATAACAGAAGAGTAAGGGAAGCACCAATCACAGCAACTCCACACCCACTGAAAAGGTTTAAACAGGCCAAAGATGAGTCTCAGGGAAGAGAGATGAAAGATTTAAAAAGTGGACTTTTCCTTCATCTTCCCTTTAATCATTTCACTTTTATTAATTTTGAAGAAACGCTTTTTATTGTCCTTCACATGGCCGCAACATAGTTAAGAAAAAAATGTACTTTAGTAAAGCAGACCTCTTGCCAAACACTTTGGACTACTTCTTTAGAATTGAATATTGTAGTATTTCAAGTTGGATAAACTTAAGACAATGTAAGCAGATCAATGTTTGTGTTTCCCTCTAATGAACTTCTGGTTTGGTCAGAGCACGTTGATCTCCTTACCCAGCAGGCACTGCTTTCAGGTAAAAATGGGTTGTTGGGAAGGTGTTCTAGTTTGAGCTGGTTTTATCTGAATAATGACAAAGATTCAGTTTATTGATGTGTCAAAGTTAAATTACTAAAAACATAAATCTCTAATCCACTTCAGATGAAAACCTGAAGACGGTGTGGAGTAAACTGAGGTGGTTTTACTGGTGCTGGTAAACAGGGTTGTTGTTTTTTTGCATGTAAGACCATGTTACACCGGCTGCTGAGACCAAACGAGGCAGATGTTCAATGACTCTCAGCCTGTCTGGAAAAACACGGTGTACCTTGTTCTTGTATTTCCTCTGGAAGAGCTTGTGATGAAGTCGGGCTTTAAGAAGATGAAAGACGAGGAGATCGGTCACTCCATGATTTTGTTGTACAGTTCAGCATTGTGCTCCTCAGATTTCTTCACAGTGGATTCATCCTGTTTTCTGAAGGTGAAGGGACTCAGGTAGTAGTTCTCTTGTAATCACTGTGAGCATGTGTTTGTGTGTTTATGCATGATGGAGCATTTCTCCTTGCTATGTACACATGTCTAGAAGTGTGTATTCAGAGCCTGGTTAGCCACACAGTCTTTGTGGTCTCTGTAAGGGACAGTGACTCAGATCCATCTGAAGTGTGGAGGTTTGGTGTCACCAGGAAATTAAATCATGCAGACCTCTGTTGTCTTTACCACACTGTGACCCGTCTACTAATGGCTTTGTGTTTCTCAGTGCTTTTCAGGGTCCCAGTTTGGTAATCTCTCCAGCACAGCCTTATGGTCCACACCGACACTGGCCACGAGTCCTCCTTTGTTCAGAGGTGTATCACTGTAGTCGATGTCTTCTCCCTTTAGGGTCGTCATGCTGCCTCCTAGAATCATAGTGAAAACACCTCATTGTTAGCCGCTCATCATTCAAACCATTTCATAGTGAAAAGCTAAAAGTGATTTTCTTTAAATGTAGAATAGACTTCAACTCTGCTCCAAGGTCAACCTCTAGGGGGCGGCGTTGCACCCTACACATTGCTCCTTTAAATTGAATGTTTCAAAAGCAGCCAAAAAGTGAATATTTAAAAAAGCACAGTGAAGTATAACCTTTGTTACATTACCCAGTGCGTTGAGGAGTGCTGCACCAGCACAGATGTCCCATTTCTTAATGAAGGTGATGTGGATGTAAACATCCGCCTGGTCTGTAGAAGCTGCATCACTTACAGGCATCTCCAGAAGTGACAGGACCTTATATCCTAAGTGAGAGAGAAGAGCACAGGTCAATGGGAATGAGTTAGTGTTTACATGAACCTCCATGTTGTTCTGTTAAAGAGAGAAGTTTGCACCTAACAGCTCTTTTTGTTTAACTGAAGAGCCAGTCAGCTTTACAGGCGCTCAGCAGATTTACCTCCATGTGTCTCTCTGAATTGTTTTTGTTTGTGTAAGCCTGTGAGTCCACGCACTGGGAAAAGGACACCCCTCCCCTTGAGTTAATATTCAAGAACTTGGCGCTAAAGTTAGTGATAGCTGACAACACGTGTCAGATTACTTTATCATAACGAGTCGTGAGGAGAGGCTGTAGTTTGAGGAAACACAGGCGTCATTCAAATCTGCATTGCGGGGACGTTCGAGTATAAAGACAAGGAGGAGAAAACAATAGACTGTCTGATAACATCGTTTTACACATGTTTGGCCCCGTTTACAGCGACAGACTACAGCAGACTGTAACCTTAGCAGGCTTTATGTAAGCAGGCTGTAATGTTAACTTTCTTACTGGATATAGAAAGTCTTTTTTAACTCCACCCACCTGCTCCACCAGCTGGTATCACCGTGGTGCTGTTTCCAAAAGCATCCTGGATATAACTTTTGACTTTTCCAGAGTGGGAGCGTGAAACGATCACCTTTGGAGGGCTGATACTGTAGGAGGACCGAGCACGCATGTTTGACCCCTCACCTACAAGCGCCCAGGCTGGGGGGGGGGAGACAGAGAGACAAAGGTCTTAAAGGGTTAACAAAGGAAAAGGTAAAATACAACGACCAACGTTTTAACTTAAAAACTCTTAAAAGCAAATGTCTCTGTCTATTCCTCTTACAGATAAAGTTGTAGTTCTTTAAAAAAAAAAATAGACAAGAACTTTGATCCTTTAGCTGCAAAAAAGAAACATGTATGAGGGTTCTCTAAAGATGTCAGTAAACATGTGATTTCATGTCTGGAGGCATTATGGTTTAACACACAGAACACATGTTTACCTGTGAACCCAGAGAACGGCTGGTGTATCACCCCAATCTTTGGTTTACCATCCACAGCAACACACACCATTGTAGTCACAAACTTCACCAGATTTTCTATGGAGAGAGAAAGAAGAGCAGGTAAAGAGGACGGGGCCAATGCTCAGCGTCTTGATAAATAACACTGAAACAAGGGTTTGAATGAGCACATTTAACTCCTGCTTCTTTGGTGTTAAATACATACACATGAACAAGGAAGATAGATAGATAGATTCGACCAGATAGAACAGTAGAACACCATTACTCAATATACATGTGCTTTGTTCCAAATCCTTTGAGACTACCAATTCAACAAGAGTTTGTAAAATTGTTTGGAGCTTGAGTATTTTTGGATTTTTCCAGAACACTTGAGGGTGATAAAAAAAGTTAGTAAAAGTCAGATTCTTTCTTTAGGTTGAAGACTTTAAACATTCACTGATAGCACTAATAGATTCATCGTCTAATTTTTTATTTTGCTCCTTTGATGGACCCAAACTTGCCTTACTAAACTAAACAGAATACTCTGTATATTATTAATATGCATTCTGGAGAGCCTGATTCACACACTTAAAGGGAGGTATTACAGAATAGTCCTTTTACAGCTCACAACCTTTACTGTGCATCCTTCTGTAAATACTCAGTTTACCTCATATACACTGTGTCTTTGCAATCTGGAAAATGTACCATTAACACTCCAGAGAAAAGGAGAAAGAGATGGTTTAATGCTACTGGTTACAGAGTTAACAGGAGCTGAACTGGGAGCTCACTGATCAATGTTAAGTTGCCATTGCAGCAAACAAGGATATATACTTAAGTCAGCCGTCTGCTGATAATGGACACACACACAATGACACCTAAGACAAAATGTAACAACTAACCCTCTGGCTATGTTTTACATTT